CGTCTCGATAGCTATAAGGGTGCGGGAGATATGAGGCTGAAAGTGGTTGAAAGTGGCTTTCTATTTCGAATGTTTTGTTCGATTTTTTCGAATTTGTTCGAATTAAATTCGAACATAAAATTCGAATTGGTTCGATTATAGAACGATTGAAAACGTTCCAGAAACGTTGAAATTTGTTCGTTTGACTAAACGTAAAAATTCTCTAATTAGTCTGGAAACGGGGGACCTAATTCTTGCATTCTGTGAAAACGGGTAAGATTGGCTATAATGTAATTATCTTAATCTTCACTATCATTACTTTTTGCCCAGCGAAGCAGGTCCTTGCAGCTAGATTCTAGATTACTTAGAAAAACAGTCTTTTATATATATAAAAAAAACTATACTATTACATATAAATAAAAACCCAGCGAAGCGGGATCTTGCAGCTAGTCAAGAAATATATTTCTTTACAGTTATTGTGATAAAAATATGTATATATATTTAAATTTAAATACTTAAAATATAATTACACTATTTCATTTCAATTTGTTATAACCAATCATATACAATTTTTAAACACAAAGTTATTACTAAATTTTCTGATGATTTTCTTACCACTCTTGTTAGTATGGTTTCCTCTTTTAACATCATATTTAGGACCTGATGAAACTTTTTCTTCTTCTTCTTCATTACTTTCTTCACTAGATTCTAAGTTTTAAAAGTTATATATTTTAAAATTGTTTTTAAAAATAACTAAAATAACAAATTTTAAAAATTTCATAACCTTTTAGAATTTTCAAATAAATAAATCAGAAAACTGATATTGATAAATATTGCAATTTCATTTGCATATCATTTTAATCCTTACTGTAATTCTTTTGTGGTAAGTGGGCAATAAAAATAAAATGTCAACAGAGTATATAAGCACTGATGGCCCACTCAAAATGCAAGCAGTTGACAAGTAAGTCATATTTTTCTTTTTTTTTAACCACCACTTTATCAAATATTGTTAGTAATGTTTTTCTTAATGTCTGTATCTTTTTAAATAAAAATTTAATATATTTTCCTGTACTGTTACCGCCATTCATTTTTCATGTCTGTTTTATTTATCTTTATAAACTTTATTTTGTATCTATTAGTATATTATTTTTGATAATTCTTTAAATTGTTTTGTCATTACTTATTCATATAAAACTTTATTCATATTTATATAGTCTTATGGTGGGGTGTGACAACAGATTTTGCTTCATTCTTTACTTCAACTCCCCTTACGTATACAATTCGTCACCCCTCCCCATTTGCACAATCATATGTACAATAAATGTAAATTAACAACAGAATACTCAAAAATAAAGGAATTATTCTGTATATGCAAACACTCAGATGACCATCCCTCCTCATGTCAGCATTCATCAATACCCTTCTGACACCCTTTCCCATATGTGGACAGGGTGGTGGTATGCCTGTTGTTTGTACTCCACTGACCCTGATGTGCATGCTGACCTCCAAAATACCAAGTTAATTGGGCAGGCCTTTCAAACAGAGCACATTCATAACCTGAAAGCCTTAGAAATATATAAGGCCAGCCTGACCAGCAAGTGTATTAACTTCAAAGACAGTAACGCAGTATCATATATGTGGAGGTACATTTATGAAAAATCGGGCAACATTAATGTATATTAATTCATCTGACACACTAGGTACTGTACATCTTAAAAAATGCTTATATATGAGGGTTATGCATTTATGATTTCTATTTTATCTACTGTATAAATTTTTGTATACGATATGTGTTGTTCGAAATTTTTAAAAAAATCATTTTTCAAATATTTGTTCCAAGCATTCCATTTTGGAATTTGTTTTGTTAAAAACCTGAAGCAGGTCTTGGATAAGACTGAAAACATTTGAAGTTTTCATTAAATTTTATTTCAATTAATTTATTAATATAAACATATTATAAAAATATTAAGGCAACTCCAATCATATACATAGTAACATTACAACAAATAAATATATTTATGATATTCTTAACAATAAAGTGTTAAGAATGCTTTAAATTAATTTTTTATTTAAATGAATTATTAAGTGTTTCTTGCAACTAATTTCATGAAAATGAGGATAAATAAATTAAGTTAAACATACAACTGAGACTAACAGTAAATAATCTTAATACTTAATCTTAATCTCTTAGTTTAAGCTTGTTTAATTATCAGTTTTTCATTAAATAATACTTTATGTTGTTTAATTTGAATTAAACAACATAAAGTATTATTTTTACTTAATTAGTAGGTTAATTCATTATAAAATATATTACTGTTAAGTTATTGTATTAGATATACAAACAATTTAGTTTTTTCTCAGAACACCATGTAGACTTGTAAACTGAGCATTACCATACTGAATGCTACAAAATACAGGAATAAAGGTTGCTATTGAATTACAATCAAAATTAGTAAAATTTGTTAAATATGTAATAAATTAAATTGGTCAAGTTTTTTTTTTGTTTTTAACCAGAATCTTAAAAAAGGATGCATGGATTTTTCAAGTAAATATGGTATTTCATATTTTAGGTAATTTTTAAATATTTGTTGAAATGATCAAGTAACATAATAGAAAAAAATGGGATCATTAAAAAACAAATCCTCAAACATGAAAGTGAATTAAAAAGATGATTGTTTTGAGATTGTCTTCAATCTTAAATAATATAAAAACAATCTATTTATTATTCCTTATTGTGTAAACAATAAGTAAATAGAGTATGGTCTTGTTTTACATGGGGTTTACATATCAGCAGGTACAGTGTAAAATGAAATTCTATATAAACTTGGGCTTTGTCCCAAATAGTTACAAATAATTCCCTAGATATTTATGCAACCACTAGCAATTGAACAAAGAAATAAAGACCACCACCCTCCGTTGTGATTTTGTTATTGTTATGTAGTAAAAATTTAGTTACATAGTATTTTATACAACTTGCATACTGTACAGTACATACAGATCATTTTTCTTGCTTTCTCCATGTTAATTTTAGAACATTCTGTGTTAATTTCATCTTAATTTTTGCTTAAAGGTAGACTAGAAAATTGCTTCTAATTTTTGTATTATTTACTTTTGCTCCACAACAAATTTCTTAAAAACACTAGTCAAGTTGTGCATCAATGATCAGAATTATTCTGATCATTGATTGCAGTATTCAATGTTACTTATTTGCCATCATGAAAACAAATCTGCATATATATCAATCCCATATAAAACAATATTCTACTGTACTTTTTTCAATAAATCTAAAATACATTGGAAAAATTTATACAATATCATTTATTGATAAAGATAAAATATTATTTACAAAACTATTCAATAATATGCTAAATTAATATCAAAACACAATTATTCATTTAAAGATTTCAGGTGATAACATTTTTCAAGTTCAAATTTTTTAGACTGTTGAGTAATAAGATATTACATATGTAAAATATAATATTTATTTGGTATTTTAAAAGAGTTTGTGCTAAAAACTTAAATTAACTTCAAGATTTACTCTTCAGCTAAAGCTGGCTTTCAAAAAATAAAGTAAATAAGGATTATTTCTGTAAGTAAGGATTATTCATTTGATTTAAAACACCTATTATTATACTGATGATGCCTAAGAAATATTTTAGACATCCTTAGTATAACAAAACATATAATTTTCAATAATATGAATAACTCTAAAGGGTAAATCTTAGTTAAAAAGAAATTTTATTAATATTTTTCTTAGTACTGCATTGATTGGGGAGATTCTCCTGAAATATGTTTTCTCCAATTGAATTTTATCTGTGAAAGGTAAATGACAAAAAATAAATTTTTAACAGCAAAGCACATTCAAAGAAATTATTTGTTAAAATTTTTTTGCAAATTTAGCAAATGCATTATTTATCTAGAATTATCCTTCATCAGGTGAAAGCGTGATCAAAAAATTTTAAAATTAGTTGAATCTGACTAAGAATGTTATTAGTTTCAGAAATGAAAGAAATATATTTTTTGATAAAAATAAAGCAAAAATTTAAGGGTACATAAAAGTAATCTCTTTAAATTTTTAAGCAATACTATATAGAAAAGTTTATCTTTTAAAATTTAAATTGTTTTTATTTAATGAAGTATCAATCATTTAAATTTATATCATTATCTTTTAACACATTTTATATACATATATTAGAAATTTTATTATATTAAACAATTTTTAAACATTACAAATTTTTAAATTATTATAAAAATTAATTGGGATTAAGAAAAAGCAGGAAAATATAAATTATCCTCTGAACTCGACAAAACAATTCAAACAAAATGGTTGAGACAACATATAACAGTGAGAAAAAACTTTATATCAGTTTTGCCTCTCTTGTAGCATTGTCAATAATATATAAAAATGGTCAACAATAACAATAAACTGGTATTATTCTTAGTCATGTTATATTTTTTAAATATTTGTTTCAATTTAAAATTGAAGAGTAATTTGTATAAACAACTGCTAGTTAGTCGCATCGCAGTCCTCTCTGTATAATTACATACTTTTTTTTTTATTTAAGATACAACAATTAGTACTTTTATAATTGAGCATCATTTCAAAACTGACCAGTCCATAATTTCAAAAAAATCTGATAAGCACTTGATCTTATGCACTTTTTCTTCTGTTTTAAAGTTGATTAATATAAATTTCTAACATGTCACAAAAAGAAAAAGAATAAAAATTGAAGGTTAATTTCAACATCAACTATACTTGCAGCCATTATGTTTCAAACCTGGATAATTAACACAAGTGGACTCAGTTATCTATCAATCAATCACTCAATCAATACTTTGACAAAGGAATTAAATCTCCTATCTGGGAATACAAGAAAAAAAAATTAACATATAATAAAATTTGTTATTCAATTATGTAATTTGTTAAATCAACAAATTACATAAAGTAAGTCGACAAACATTGCCTTAAAATCAGAATACTGTGGTCTTGGAGAGGATCTTGTAGCAATCATTTGTACTGTACAAAAAGAAATATTAACACTGTCTATTGGCATTATTATTTTACTTGAAATATTACAACAAGTATTTTCGACAAGTTTCAGATTGTCTTCTTCAGGTATAGAATAATCGAACCTTACAATTTAAAATATATGTTAATGTGTTCCAAATGGCAAATTTAAAATTTCTTTCATAGGATATGTCAATATATTGAAAAAAAACTATAATAATAATAATAATAAATAAAAATGTGCAAAAAATGTATAATTTAGAATTAACTCGAACAAAAATTATTGTGCTAACTTCTTGTATAACATGTGCCATATTGCCAGAAGGTCGAGCAAAGATTTGTTACATGAACTTTCATGTAATAATCCTTTGCTCTACCTTCCAGCACTGTTCCATTCTCAATATTCCACATGCTTCTAATTTGTTACAAACAGAAACCATTATCCTTGACAATTTCTAACATAAGGTTATCATCATTTATCATCTACCTAAAAATTAAATAAGTCTTCAACTCCATATTACCAATCAGCTGCTGGATATTTTATTAAATTTCTTAGATATTCACCCTTAGATTATAAATTGGCTCAATAATTACTTTCTGCTAAAATCATTTAGTGTTAAGCTTGGAAAGTTTTCCTTTCTTCCATTTTTCTCCAATGTATCATCTGTTGGGACTCCATCCTGAATAGTTTTTTTGTTTATAAGTTTTATTGATTATGTCAAGGCTGACATCACTTCCAATGTTATTCTACACAGACAATATGAAAATGATTAATTTGAATCCAAGTCTCCAAATCAACATTAAGTTATTGACTAATATTCTTGAGTCTGTTGACTTGAAAATTAATATAGCTAAGATGGTGCCACTGGTACATAAACCTATTCTTCATCCATTCACCATATCTAATCATCCAATTACTTATGTCAAGATGATTTGTGATCTTGAAGTCATATTTGACAGACACCTTACCTTTTCAAATCACATCAAGAAAATTAAGAACCTTGTCGACAAAAGAGGTATGCTCAAGTGACATTGCCACTGCATCTCTAACTAATGAGGCCTCAGAGCTATTTTTTCTTTTGTTAACTTCCAATTGTTTATTTATTATTATTTACTGGTGTGGCCTGCAGTTTCTCTGTCTTTGCTAACAAAAGCGAGTTCATCTTTAAACAAAGTTTACCTGCTAAATTAAATTTTCTAATTTGCTGTATAATGCAACAAAGTCACCTGGGTTGGGACTTGTGCTGCTAAAAGCTCAAAATGAATATTTTAATCAAATTTTATAATTTAAATATTTTTACAGTGTTCTTTCTTAGATAAAGTTTTTTACATGTACCTAGTTGCTCTACACAGAACAAGGCATGCCTTTGCCCTTCTAGTTATAAGATGTGTATCTCTCATAGATCTTTTATTATTAAAGTCCAAAATTAAAACTAGAATAAATAACTTGTAATAAAATGCACATCATACACAATTTTCCAGCAAGTGGTGTTTGTGGAACAAATGTTTTCAGTTTATTTTATAAACATGAAACAGGTTTATGCAGGTTTTGTGTATGGTGTATATTTTATTGCATCTTTTTTCTTATTGCGTTGTTTTTAATATTTCTCTATTCGGTGTGTTTATTTTATAATTTTATACAGTTTAAAAATTCTGTAAATACATTTTATACTGTAATGTCTAGTTTTAGTGTCTGATTTTTAATGTTTTTTGTTTTATCTTATTTTTATATACAATGTCCAAGCTATGGGTATTTGTAATTTTATTCATTTAAAATTTTTGTGCTCGATGTCTCTTTTGCTGTTTTTTTATTTACTTTTTTATTATCAATTTCATTTTAATTATTTTTACTACTATTATTCATTGTTGTTATTTTTAACAAGTTCTTTGTTGTATCATTCTGTCTAGAGTAGTAATTTTAAGTCAATGACTTTACCTACTACATTCAAAATAAATAAATAAGTGTAATGCAGAAACACTTCCCATTTTTCTATTCACAACTAAATATTCATTTATAATAATATTTAAGCTCTAGATCAGTGTTTCTTATCCTTTTTTTTTTTTTGTCACAATCTACTTTTAATAATTTAAAAATTTGGCAGCACACTAACAATAAAATAAACTTAAAAGAATTTTACTTAGTTAATTGAGGGATGTATAGTATCTATAATATATTTTGTAAAAATAGCATACGATAATAAATTTCAATGAAATATAAAATGAGATTGCATTATAAAGTAAGCAAAATGTTTATTTAATGATAAATTTCAAATTACATCTAATGCAAAATTTGTGCTTGGTGGTTTTTAAATTAATAACTTCATTTATATTTGGGCGTGAAAATAATAACGCTAATCTCATTTCATGATCCAGATTTTAAAGTGTGGATCTTTTTTTCGCACCCTAGGAAGGTAGAACGACTGAACTACTTGTCTGAAATCACTTATGTATTGGTATTCATAGTGGCAGCACACTTCAAAAATCTCGCAACACACTAAAATGCCGCAGCACAGTGGTTGAAAAACACTGCTCTAGGTATACAGTTTTTTCTTAACTCTTACATTTATAAATATACATACTGTAAATTATTGTTTTTGAATGTTTTATTTTAGTAATACTTTTAATTATTATTTTTAATAAATAAGTTTTAATTCTTAATTTAATTCAAACTTATAATGAATATTTCAATCTAAAATTCTGTTTATCATAATAATTATATATATATATATATATATATATATAAATGGACATGTATGTCCCTATATCTCACTTTTTCGCCAAAACTACACATCGCACGTGAATGGTGTTTGTATGTGGTGGTAGCCCCAAGTCTCCATTCGTGCATAGGGGTGGTTGCGTCTCGATAGCTATAAGGGTGCGTGAGATATGAGGCTAAAAGTAGTTGAAAGTGGCTTTCTATTTCGAATGTTTTGTTAGATTTTTTCGAACATAAAATTCGAATTGGTTCGATTATAGAACGATTGAAAACGTTCCAGAAACGTTGAAATTTGTTCGTTTGACTAAACGTAAAAATTCTCTAATTAGTCTGGAAACGGGGGACCTAATTCTTGCATTCTGTGAAAACGGGTAAGATTGGCTATAATGTAATTATCTTAATCTTCACTATCATTACTTTTTGCCCAGCGAAGCAGGTCCTTGCAGCTAGATTCTAGATTACTTAGAAAAACAGTCTTTTATATATATAAAAAAAACTATACTATTACATATAAATAAAAACCCAGCGAAGCGGGATCTTGCAGCTAGTCAAGAAATATATTTCTTTACAGTTATTGTGATAAAAATATGTATATATATTTAAATTTAAATACTTAAAATATAATTACACTATTTCATTTCAATTTGTTATAACCAATCATATACAATTTTTAAACACAAAGTTATTACTAAATTTTCTGATGATTTTCTTACCACTCTTGTTAGTATGGTTTCCTCTTTTAACATCATATTTAGGACCTGATGAAACTTTTTCTTCTTCTTCTTCATTACTTTCTTCACTAGATTCTAAGTTTTAAAAGTTATATATTTTAAAATTGTTTTTAAAAATAACTAAAATAACAAATTTTAAAAATTTCATAACCTTTTAGAATTTTCAAATAAATAAATCAGAAAACTGATATTGATAAATATTGCAATTTCATTTGCATATCATTTTAATCCTTACTGTAATTCTTTTGTGGTAAGTGGGCAATAAAAATAAAATGTCAACAGAGTATATAAGCACTGATGGCCCACTCAAAATGCAAGCAGTTGACAAGTAAGTCATATTTTTCTTTTTTTTTAACCACCACTTTATCAAATATTGTTAGTAATGTTTTTCTTAATGTCTGTATCTTTTTAAATAAAAATTTAATATATTTTCCTGTACTGTTACCGCCATTCATTTTTCATGTCTGTTTTATTTATCTTTATAAACTTTATTTTGTATCTATTAGTATATTATTTTTGATAATTCTTTAAATTGTTTTGTCATTACTTATTCATATAAAACTTTATTCATATTTATATAGTCTTATGGTGGGGTGTGACAACAGATTTTGCTTCATTCTTTACTTCAACTCCCCTTACGTATACAATTCGTCACCCCTCCCCATTTGCACAATCATATGTACAATAAATGTAAATTAACAACAGAATACTCAAAAATAAAGGAATTATTCTGTATATGCAAACACTCAGATGACCATCCCTCCTCATGTCAGCATTCATCAATACCCTTCTGACACCCTTTCCCATATGTGGACAGGGTGGTGGTATGCCTGTTGTTTGTACTCCACTGACCCTGATGTGCATGCTGACCTCCAAAATACCAAGTTAATTGGGCAGGCCTTTCAAACAGAGCACATTCATAACCTGAAAGCCTTAGAAATATATAAGGCCAGCCTGACCAGCAAGTGTATTAACTTCAAAGACAGTAACGCAGTATCATATATGTGGAGGTACATTTATGAAAAATCGGGCAACATTAATGTATATTAATTCATCTGACACACTAGGTACTGTACATCTTAAAAAATGCTTATATATGAGGGTTATGCATTTATGATTTCTATTTTATCTACTGTATAAATTTTTGTATACGATATGTGTTGTTCGAAATTTTTAAAAAAATCATTTTTCAAATATGTTTGTTCCAAGCATTCCATTTTGGAATTTGTTTTGTTAAAAACCTGATGCAGGTCTTGGATAAGACTGAAAACATTTGAAGTTTTCATTAAATTTATGTTACTGATGTTTAAAGGTTATTGATTTGTTTGATTAACTCCAGTAATTCGAGAAGAAAATAGTTTTAAGATACTGGATATACGTGATGTGCTGATCTTCATCACTGAGCACAATTATTTTTGTTTTAATTGGAAAATTTATTTATAAAAACAGGGAGTCCCCTTGGGTACCCCTTTATCAGTTGTTCTAGTAGAGCTGATTTGTGAGAGAAATTGAGCACAAAACATTCAATTCCCTGCTTGCCATCCACTACCTGCTGCTGTACTTGCGTTACGTTGATTTTGATATCATTGATAAGCAAATGAGCTCTTTTTGCATTGAGGACAGCACGGATGATGACACTACTCGGCATCAAACTATACGGGAAGACATCAACATCCCCATTCATACCAACAATTCCCCAGACTTCTGTCATGATGAGATCAACAATGCCTTTACAAACCTAAAGGATAACAAAGCTCCTGGTGTCGATAACATTAACAGCAGGATAGCCAAAGCTATCTGGAAGCTTATACCTAGTCATATAATAAAAATGTATAATAGCTGCTTACATAATGGGATTTTCCCAAATAAATGGAAGGTCGCAAAAATTATACCAATTCCAAAACCTGGAAGGCCCAACAACGTCAGGCCAATCTCCCAGTTGCCTGTTTTCGGTAAAGTTTTGGAGCGCCTGTTAACTGATCATCTGACCTGGCATATTGAAACTGGGAACATCCTTAGTGAAACCCAATTTGGCTTCCACCAACAGCGCTCCTCCTCTGACGCCATTCACTATGCCGTCAATAAAATCAATAGCCTCCTCAGTATGCACAAGTATGTGCTTGCCCCCAGCCTTGATATCTCCAAGGCTTTTGACTCCGCCTGGTGGCCACTTATCTTGTACCGCCTCAAGCATATTGATTGCCCAGCCAATCTATATCAACTTTTCAAGGACTACCTCAACGACCGGAAGACTCTACTACAATATGGCTCACATCATGTGAAAAGAAATATTGCCCGAGGCTGCCCTCAGGGGTCGGTCTGTGGACCATTCCTATGGAATCTTGCCTTCAACTCTTCTCTTCAAGAAGACTTTGGACACGACGGCATCATAGCATATGCAGATGATGTCTTGATACTGATTGGCGGTAATTCCCATGCTACACTTGAGAGCAGAGGCAATGATACACTTAGCCGTGTTCATCACTGGGGCATACAGGCACAAACTCAATTTTAACCCTGGCAAAACTACTTGCATTGTTTTCAATCGACCCAGACAACCAAATCTGTACCGTCGCACACTGACAATTCGCATGGATAATCACTCCATCAAAGTTGAAAGGGCAATCAAATACCTTAGCGTCTGGTTGGACCACCGCCTAAATATCATATAAAATATATTACCAACAGAACCAACCTCATCTTTCAGGCTTTCTCCGAGGTTGCCTGCAAGAAGTGGGGTCTTAATTCTGAGGCAGTCGGTATCATTTACGACCACATCTTCACACCAATCATCACGTATGAATGTGGCAGTTGGGGCTGGGATGCCAGGAAGGTTCACCCCTGCAGAAAACTAATTTCATCCCAGCGCAAGGCCTTAATCCTCATGTCTGGGGTCTATAGAACAACCCCAAACAGTAGTCTTCAAACCATAACTACAAGCCACCCATCACTGATGTTATTCGTACCAAGTATGAGCTTTAGAAGCTAAAGACTGGCCAAGACATCTGTACAGTCACCTGCAACATTCCCGCTGCCAACTTCGAGAAAATGAATCCCGTCACCGACCTCGCTCCTCCTTACATCAACAACCACATTAACACCAGTTTGCCCAGTGGTGATATTCGAAATATTTAACAAAGGGTTCGCTAACAGAAAATTTTTCCTAAACAATTTTTTTCGCTCAAATGGTGCATTAACAACATTAGCGCAAAAACTGACCTTAAGATACCCATATAAATAAAAAAGATGCGTTCACAAAATTAAGTCAGTTAAAATTTAACGTTGTTTATGCCAGAACTATACTTTTTTTTTATAAATAATAAAAAAGAGTGTTTAAAATGATTTATTTTGTACATATTTTAATATTTTTCATTCAAAATATTTTATAAACACAAAAATTGGTTTTTTTAATCAGAAAAAGTCACAGGGAAAGCAGTTAAACAAGAAAAACTTTTCTAAATCATTTATTTTATCGTTAGGTATTATTTTAAAAATAGACAGATGTCATTGTCTCTCGAAATACAATATCTTTCTTACTTCGCTGTTGATAGCCCGACACGTGCTCCGCAGCCATCTTGTATTTTCTCGCGCGCGTGGGATTGTGGGATCTCTCTTATGACTGGATCTAGTTTCGAGAACTCTCTCGAGTCGATCGTGATTAAACCTCGTTTTAGTCGAGATTGAAACGGTCGATGGAGGTTGCACTAGGCGAACAGGGTATAAGGCTCTAGTTTAGTAGTGTTACAGAGTATAATACGTATATTTTAATATATTTTTTAAAAGAAACAAAACCACTGAGAAATGTTACGTGTGTTTAACAACGGGTTCGGAAAACTNTCGCAAAATTAAGTCAGTTAAAATTTAACATTGTTTATGCCATAACTATATTTTTTTGATAAATAATAAAAAAGAGTGTTCAAAATGGTTTATTTTGTACATATTTTAATATTTTTCATTCAAAATATTTTATAAACATAAAAATTAGCTTTTTTTTTTAATCAGAAAAAGTCATAGGGAAAGCAAGTTTAACTGCTTTCCCTATGACTTTTTCTCAAGAAAAAACTTTTCTAAATCATTTACTCTATCATTAGGTATTATTATAATAATAGACAGATGTCATCGTCTCTCGAAATACAATATCTTTTTTATTTCGCTGTCGATAGCCCGACACGTGTACTGCAGTCGTCTTGTATTTTGTCGCGCGCGTGGGATTGTGGAATCTCTCGTATGACTGGACATAGTTTCGAGAACTCTCTTGAGTCGATCGCGATTAAACCTCGTTTCAGTCGAGATTGAAACAGTCGATGGAGGTTGCACCAAGGTGAACGGTGTATAAGGCTCTAGTTTAGTAGTGTTACAGAGTATAATACGTATATTTTAACATATTTTTAAAAGAAAAACCACTGAGAAATGTTACGTGTGTTTAACAACGGGTTCAGAAAACTTTGAAAATGTTAACAACGGGTTCGGCCGAACCTGTGCGAACCCGCTGAATATCACCACTGAGTTCGCCCAATATCTCCGATGTGGAAATCTATACAGATGGCTCTGGCCTGGATGGAAACATTGGGTGCGCCTTCGTTGTGATGCAAAACAACTGTGAGATCCACCAGCAGGGTTTACAACTTCTGCAGTGTTTTTCAGGCTGATCTTGTGGCCATTAACATGGCTGTTGGCTGGTCTGAACAGCACTTAACTCATACGCAGATTGCAATCTTCACAGACTGCCAGTCTGCCATCAACCTTATCAATAGCAGATAGCTCCACCCCATCTCAACTGCTATCAAAAAACTTACACTCAACTCCTCCAATAGCTACAGCATTACCTGGGTCCACAGTCATCATGGTACCACTGGTAACAAGAGAGCTGACCAGCTGGCAAAGACAGCTGCCAACAATGACACGCTAGACTCCATCTATAATAAAATCAGCCTGAATAAAGTTAAAACACTTCTATACAATGACACACTCCATCACTGGCAGGACTCTTGGCATGAAAATCATAGCAGTCATACCTACAACTTTATCCCCAACATCCACGAGTACCAGAACTACACTTGGATTGTTAACAACTC